ACCTCATCCTGTATGGCGGGAAGAAAACTACAAAGCAACTAAACAAATGAACAGTAAAGTGCTGATCAAAAGAGCAAGCACAGAGCAGAAGACGGCATTTATGTGAAATGGAAAGTAATGCAACTCTGTGCTGCCCTGTATTGGGAAGAATGTGTAGCAATACTGTCAATAAAATTAAAAACCTCTATCAACCCCACTGGAGATTTTCTTATGGGGAGTCAGTACAACCAGCGTGGAGAATAAAGTACTGATAATGGCTGATTTGGTCAGTTGGTAGTCGGTACACAGGGCTCATTACATTGATATATTCTGTAACTTAGGTATAAAAGTATACATTTATGTAGATATTTCTCTCCTTCCTCCCCTCCCACCTTTTCTCTCCCTCTCCCCCTTGCATCTTCCTCCTTCTGTAACCTCCCTCCTTCTCTCTCTACTGGACTTATTGAACTCTCTATATTATCACGTGACCCATGAGACTGATTTCTTGCAATATATGTACCTTCCTTGGGTTTGTAGCATATTGCATCCATTATGTTCAGTTATGGTGACTTTTTCTTAGTTTCTTTGGGACTTTTGTTTACATATGTATTTATTTTTGGTTGCGCTTGGGTTTGAACTCATGGCCTCACATTTGCTAGGCAGGTGCTGTTAGTGCTTGAGCACTCTGCCAGCCCTCATCAGGGTTTTATCATGAAGAGATGTTGAATTTTATCAAAAGCTTTCTCTGCATCTATTGAGATGATCATGTGATTTTTGTCCTTGGTTCTATTATGTGCAGTATTACATTTATTAGTTTGTATATATGGAATCATGCTCGCATACCTTGATTCAAGTCAAAATGATTGTGGTGTATCACCTTTTTCCTTTACTTTTTAATTACGCTCTTGTAATCAATGGATTCTTTTTACTTTCAAAGAGACCCTATTTCTATTTTGTTAAAATTTTATTCTACTTTTAAAATATCATACGTGAATAATATAATAACTGTGATAATTTCATATATACATAGTGCACTTTGAATAAGTTCATCCCTCCGTGATATTTCCCTCTCCCTCCTCCCTGGTTTTTCAAACAGTGTTTGCAGGGATTCATCATGTCTCCATAAATCCGTGTGTGTGTGTGTCGTCCGTGTGTGTGCGTGTGTGTGTCATCCGTGTGTGTGCGTGTGTGTTGTCCGTGTGTGTGTGTGTGTAGTAAAGCCTCTTCAGTCTTTAATTTCCTTTCCTTTTCTCCATGCTCTTCCTCCTGCTGAGCCCCCCAGACAGCCCCCCTTTTACATTCATGTCCCACTAATAGCATGTCATCATTTTAGGCATATATTTTCTTTTTCCATTCACCAAGTGTATGGCACCTTGGCTGTTCCCTGTTTGTCTTCTGTGAAGAGTGCTACAACAAACATGATCGTGCAAGTATCTTGTACACTGATTCACCCTCCTTTGGCTATGTGCCCAGGAGTGGTACTGTGGGGTCTTAAGGTAAATCTAGTTTTAGCATTTTGAGGAACTTCCATGCTGATTTCCATAGTGGTTGCACTCCTCTACATTCTGTGTTGTTTTCTCTTTTTAATGTATTACTGAATTAGGTTTCCAGGTAATTTTTAGCAGATATTTGCACTAGAGCCTTCAAATAAATTGTTCTTTTTGTTTTGTTAGTATCCAGTTTTCATAATGGAGTAGTCCTGGCTTCATATAGTTAGTTTGATACCACTTCTTCCTGTTCTTATGCAATAGTAGAGGAAGCACGGTTGTTCTTTAATAGCCAGAGAGAAATCAGGACGGAATCTGCCCAGTCTTCGGCTCTTGTTTATGGGGAGACTATTACTGCCTCACCTCATTAGTAATTAAACATCTGTTGTTTCTATCCCTTTCATGCAATATTGACTGGCCATGGGACTAGAAATGTACCCATTGGATTTCTTGATTCTCCAGTTTTTTGGAATATGTGTTCTCAAAATATCCTTCCTTGATGATTCTCTGGATTTCACTGGAACCTGCTACAATATCCCTCTTTCTCATGACATTTTATTAATTTTGTTCTCTTTTCTTGAGACAGACTCACTTGGCCTTCAGCATTTCAATCTTGATTATCTTTGTAAAGAATTAACTCTGCTTCGTGGTTTCTTTTTATGGTGCTTTTAGTCTCCCTTTCTTTATTTTCTGCCCTGATCTTTATTTCTTTCCATCTACTTAGTTGACATTTTTTCTTGTTTTTCTAGGACCCAGAGCTGCCTCATCAGGCTTTTGAGACTGCTCCAAATGATTAATATAGGGACTACTGGCTTCAGATTTCCCTTTTAAACTGTTTGCTGTATTCTAAAGGTGTTGGTAAGGTGTGTTTACATTTCATTTGATTCTGGCAAATTTTGAATCTCCCTGTTTTCTTCAATTACCCACTGATCATTCAAATGCATATTGTTCAATCTATAAATGACTGTGTAATTTCTTTTGCTGTTGGTTTTTAATTCCATTCCATTAAAATCTGGTGAGAATTAAGAAATTATTTCAATATTTTGTTCTTCTTAAATCTTGCTTTATGTCTTGAAATATGGCTATGGGGAGGAATGTGTAATCTGTAGCTATGCAACAGAATATCTTGTAGATGTCTGTTAAGTCCATTGACCCATAGAGCAGTCTAAATCTGAAGTTTACTTTTAGATTTGTTTGTTTGTTTGACCAACCGACTGATGAGAGTATGGTATTACAGTCAAACATTATTATTTTATCTGCTGCAATCTGTTCCTTTATGACCATTAGTGTTTATTTTAGAAAACTGAGCATACCAACTTTTGGTATATATACACACACACAATTGCTATATCTTCTTGGTGAAAATTTTCCTTCACAACTAGAAATTCCTGTTTTCCTTAATGGGAAGTCCTTGGCAGACATCCATATTGGGGAAAAACTAACAGAACTACTGCCTGCTATTATACCAGCCCACTGAGGCATGGATGGTTGAGGGTCCCCCAAAAAACTGTCCATCACCTCATATACATAGATCCTACTTCTCCATAATGTGACACAATACAGATAAAACAAACAAGATTAAAGGTCAATATAGAAAATAATGCCTTTATTAGTGCACAATCCTAAGTAATGTGAAGCAGAGTTAAAGGTAGTGACTTGATGGTACAAATATCAATTACAACTGTCATGGGAGATCAAAACCTTCCATGAAGAACCTAAGCCTTCCTTGCAAGCCTCCAGCTAAACCACCACTGTGTTCATTTGGCCATAAAGGAATCGTCACACAACAAGATCCCTCAGCAAACAAAATAAATGTGTCCTAATTGTATGTGCTACTCAAGATTTTCCTCAGAAGGGAATACAAGAGACCTGATGACTTGCCTTAACATGTCAGGATAGTTTTTCCCAGAGTGAAGGGAGTAGAGGGAAATGGCATCTCTAAGACAGGGTGGCAATGATTTCACTCTGCCCAAGGTCCTGTAGAGTCTACAATGTGCAGAGCAGCTCTTGTCATCCTCACCCCATGTGTAACTCATGGGGAATTTCACCCACTGGTTATCTGGAAGTATGAAGTTCCAGTTCAGACACATGAATCCCTGAGGCTCTCCAGTATGGATATACTGAACAAAACCATATTCTATTCAGGTCCAAGGCTGGTTCCAAGCAGGGACTTTGTGCTGCTAAGTAAGGTTGGCTCTTGGTCTGCAAGCTTTCCCAAATTTACTACCACAGTGGGGGCTGTGTGTACTGTCATACTTTTGATAAAGGAGATTCACATTGTGTGAAATATTTCCATCTTTTGCTACATTCATAAGGCCATTCTCAGGTGCGAACCCTGTCATATGCACTTAGAAGAGTTCGTTGGGTAAATCACTTGCCACACCAACCAGAATCACAGGTTTTACCTCCATGTGAATTATTTGGTGATGAATAATACTTACTTTGGGCACAAAGACTTTCCCACCTTCTTAAAATCTCATAAAGCCTTTCTGTAGAGTGGATTTTCTGGTATACAGTGATGTCAACACTTTGCCTCAGTGATGTGCCACATTCCTTACATTCATAAGGCCTTTCTCTAGGATGTACTGTCCAGTATACAGTAAGAACATGTACTTTCTTAAATGATTTCCCAAATTCTCTGCATTCATAAAGACTTTATCTAGTGTACTCTGTTGCAGAGTAAGAGAGCAGGCATCAAGATACAATTTCTCTGACTTGCTATGCTTATGCATTTTTTCTTTTTTGTAGTTCACACTCTCTATAAAAGCTGTATTTTTTTGGTCAGTGGATTTTCTTCATTTAAGCAACAAATATGCTGTTGGAATGGCTCAAATGGTAGACTGCCTATCTAGCAAGCGTGAAGCCCTGAGTTCAAACCCCAGTACTGCCAAAAAGAGAAAGGAAACCAAAAAATGGAGAGAGGTAGGGAATAAGAGATGGAGGAAGGAGAGGGAAGAGAGGGAGAGAAGGAACTCAGGAAGGAAAATGAAGGATTGGAGATATCACTCATAGGTAGAGCACTTACCTTGCATGCATGAGGCCCTGAGTTAGGTAAGTGAGGGAGGAAAAGGGAGGAAAGGAGGGAGGATGGGCTGATGGAGTGGCTGAAGTGGTAGCATGCCTGCATAGCAAGCACAAGGCCCTAAATTTAAACCACCAATAGAAATGAAAAGGGAGGGAGAGGGAGGGAGGGAGGGAAAGAGAGAGAAAGGAAACAAAGAACTCATACTACCTTTGCAAAGTGCATTGGCTGCTAATACTTAGGTGACTCACCATTCAAAATGACCAGAAACAACAGGTCAAAAATAGCTTAGGAATCCTAGTGAAGGTTGTTACAACCCAACAATTTCCCTGACACTTGACATTCAAATCTCTTCTCAACTGATGTCCTGTTCACATCCCTCCTGCAGGGTTTCTCTCAGTTTGGTTTTTCTCATGGTTGGGAGTCACCTTATATACAGTTTTAGCAACCAGGTGCAAAATGTCTTTATAAAGAATGGCACACGTCACTGAGATAAGTCTACTAGGTGCACTGATCTGTCATTGTCTTGAAGTATTACACCTGTTCTTCTGGAAAGAAGAACACATCCCCTATTCAATGCCCACAACTGATACCACAGAAATGATGGTGAAATGCATACACAGTATGGGGGGAGTGGGGCCAAGGCTCACCAAAAGAAAGGTCCATAGGATTTCTTTGTTTTGGGACTGGGGGTTAAACCCAGGGAACTACATAGGGTAGGCATGCACTTTTACCACTGAACTACACCCTGACGTGCACAGAACAGCAGGTGGAAGCTGGGTCAATTCGCAGAAGGGGTTGTTTCATAGAACTGGGCCTCTAAAGACAGTAGAATCTGTCAACGTTTAACAGACAAGACATGAGGATGAGTTACAGTACAGGGAGGAGAGGCAGGGCTCTGCCATTTCATGGTACTGTTATCCATCAGAAGACATAAAATCTGCCCAAATCACCACAAAACCATATTCAGTAAAATCTTGCCAGTTGGTGACAAGTGAACTGTGTGGAAGACTGCTTGAGTCCAGGTTGGGGAAAAACAACTCAAGCTGCTTGAGCACAACTCAAAATCATATTAGGGTTTTCCTCACCGAGAGGTTTCTGGTGGTGAATAAGACTGACTGTGTGCTCAAACACGTTCTCACATTCCTCACTCATAAGTCTTTTGTGGACTTTCTAGCGTAAATTAAGGGACATTGTTTGAAGAATTTTCCTCATTGCCCACACTCAATATACCTGTGTCTGTGTGCACTCTCAGGTGTACCATAAGGGTACCTATTTCCTCAAAGGATTTTCCACATTCTATACAATTCTATGGCCTTTCTCCAGTGTGAACGCTTTGATGTTTTGTAAGACCAGATCTTCCCTTAAATGATTTTCCACATTCTCTACATTTATAAAGCCATTCTCCACTGTGGACTCTCTGTTGTTCAGTAAGTTCAAACCCTTGCTTAAAGGATTTCTCACATTCTCTGCACTCGTAAGGCCTTTCTCCAGTGTGGGTTTTCTGGTGTTCAGTTATATCACTTATGTACTTAAAAGACTTCCCACATACCCTGCACTCATAAGGCCTTTCTCCAGTGTGGACTCTCTTGTGTACAACAAGGGCATGTCTTTCCTTAAAGTATTTCCCACAATCTCTACATTCATAAGGTCTTTCCCCTGAGTGAACTTTCTGATGTCTTGTAAGACCAAATCTTCCTTTAAAGGACTTCCCACATTCTCTACACTCATAAGGCCTTTCTCCAGTGTGGACTCTCTTGTGTAAAACAAGGGCAGATTTTTCCTTAAAGGATTTCCCACAATCTCTACACGCATAGGGCCTTTCTCCAGTATGGCCTCTCTGGTGTACAATAAGGGAATTTCTTTGCGTAAAGGACTTCCCACAATCTCTACACCCATAAGGCCTTTCTCCAGTATGGCCTCTCTGGTGTACAATAAGGGCACTTCTTTGCTTAAAGGATTTCGCACAATCTCTACACGCATAAGGCCTTTCTCCAGTGTGAACTCTCAGGTGTATAATAAGATCCTTTTTTTCCTTAAAGGATTTCCTACATTCTCTGCACTCATAAGGTCTTTCTCCACTGTGAATTTTCCTGTGTTCTTTAAGTACGTGCAGTTGTGTAAAAAATTTTCCACAGTCTCTACACTCGTAAGACCTTTTTCCTGTGTGAACTCTCTGATGTACAGTAAGAGCAGAACTATTCTTAAAGGATTTCCCACATTCTCTACACTCATAAGGACTTTCTTCAATGTGGACACACTGGTACTGATCAAGTGAGTATCCATCTTGGAAGTCTTTCTCATGCTTCCTGTTCTTATAAAGCCTTTTTCCATTGTGGATTCTCAGGTTATAAAAAGTCACATTTTTATGGCTGGAAATTTTGCTACTGTTAACAAACCTGGAAAAACCTTTTCCATGGTTAAATGTCTCCTCTAATTCAGAATCATTTGTCCTCTCATTATTAGAAATGACCTGGGGCTTCGGAAGGTCAAAAAGAGTTGGGAAATCCTTCCAAAGGTCATTACAATTGAACAATTTCCCAGAAACAAAAAATTCACACATCTTCTCAAGTGAAGTCCTGTCCATGTCCCATTTCAAGGGATTCTCTGCAGTGTGAGGCTTCCGGGCTACACATGCACATTCTCTAGTCATGCACAGCTTCTGCACAAGTGGAGCAGCCATGTGTAAAATGTCTTTCAAGACAAAGGCACAGATGTCACAGGGGTGAATCTTCTCGGTGGATGGACCTGCCTTTGGAGCTCTCAACTGTGACACCTCTTCCAGACAAACAGTGTGCATCCATGCCTCCTTATCATCTACTCTATGTGCACAACCTAAAAGCAGAGAAAGCAAAATGAAATGCATACAGACACTGGTGGGAGCAAGGCCAAGCCATAATACTGCAAGAGTTGTAGGTTTTTTATTTACTGTAGACATGCTGGGGAAAAGCACAGGGCTTGCGTGTGGCAGGAATGCACTGCATCACGGATGTACAGATCCTGCACTATAGGAATGTTTTCAGAATGTGGAAGCAGGGCTCAATTTGCACAAGGGTTTGCTTCACACAACTGGCTTCTAAAGACAGTGGAATCTTGCAAACAGCACGGGACTGGAGGTGACATGGAGGACAGGGACGAGTGGCAAAATGCCTTCAGGTAATGCCACTCAATGAATTACAAAGAAAATGCCCCAAATCACTGCACAATCTTTGTTTTTCCTTTTTCCTGTACTGGGGCTTGAATTCAGGGCCTACAGCTTGAGCCACTCCACCAGCCCTTTTTTTGTTCTGTTTTTTCGAGACAGGGCCTCCTGAACTATTTGCGTGGGCTGGCTATGAACCGTGATCTTCCTGATTTCTGCCTACTGAGTAGACATGATCACAGGCATGAGCCACCATTGCTTGGATTTCCACACAATCTTGTTCAATAAAATTCCATCAGCTGCTGAGAAGTGCATGCTGTATAAAAGACTGTCTGAATAAGCACTTAGTAAATATGACAATGTGCCCCGGTACAAAAATTGGATAATAAAATTTCTTTAAATTGACTATGTGATGTATATGAAAGTGAAACAATAAGAATGTTGAAATGACTCTACGAAAATGGGGAGAATTGAAAAAGGAGAAAGATGGGGATGGTGGTGAATCTAACTAAGATATACAAATTGTAGAAGTCACAATTCATCCCAGTATAATTAGTATAATATGCTAATAAAAAAGACCTAAATTTAGAAAAAAAGCCTGAGGTACATTGTACAAAAAGCTAAACCTGCATATGGACAATATTGAAGGATATGGTCTCATATGAAAACATATTATGTGTGGGTCACTCATGGAGAACAGTGCAGAGGGCAGAGTGCATTATATGTAGAATACTAAAGAAATTAGACAATTCCTAGTGAAACAGAAACAGCTCAGATGTCATGACCTCCATCAGTTATTCCTTAATTGTATTAAACATTTCTGAGATAATCTTTCCGTGTCTATCTGATGTAGCTATCAGGATATTTTGAGCACCCCACTCGCACAGTCTGGGAGAGGTACACAAACTGATTTCCTACAGATATAGGAGACGTTACCTATCAGCAGTGACCCTGGGTAACTCAGCACTCAAGAGAATGGAGGAAAACACCAATATTACAAAGACGACTGGAAGGCGGTCTGACATAACAGTAAAATGGCCAGGCCAGGTAATCAGCAATGCCTGGTGATTATCATGCACACAGCTGTAATGAAATGTCAGGAAAAAGAGGCATAATAAGGCATACAGATCTGAGCAGGTATCCAGTCATGGAGGAGGTGAGCAAGGCAAGACCTATTAAGTACTGTCGAACACCCCCCTGCCAAATCTGTACTTATACTCATTATAACAGCAGCTGTTAGAGAGCTCAGGGAAGTGCACCCACCTCAGCTGTAGCAACCACAACACACCCACACAAAAAGTGGGTTAGTTAACATAGCCCAACACCTAGCATTGAAGAGACATCTGCTCTGGGAAAAAGATGAACAAAGACCAGAGTTTGGGTGAGTGTGAGGGACTTACCTATGGAGGTTACAAGTGCAAAGTTCTCCAGCATCACATGGAGGTACAGGTGCCTCTGAGCTGCATAAAGGAACTCCCATTCCTCCTGGGAGAAGGAAATGGCCACATCTTCAAAGATTCCACAGCCCTGCCATGGTTAGAACAAAGCATCTATGATGAGCTACTCTCCTAGAACTTATTCCATGTTGATATAACCATTTCCTTACATCCCTCAGCTGGTACCCCATGTGTCACTCTCACCACCTCAGAGAGGATATCAGGTGCAAAGCTCTGGAGACGGAGTCTCTCCTCTATGCATATTTGATCACTGTTTCCTCCAACACCACAGGTTGGAGGTGAGCAGAAAGACACAATCTAACTCCTGGAATGGGCATACTAAGCTGTATCAACTCATGTCAGTCAACTGCACAAATGTTCTCCGCGTGGTGTTGTTCAGAGATAACCATATGTGTGCTCCCCTTCACAGGACCAGCATTTCCCCTGATCTCTCCAGGTGCATATCACCTTTAGTCCATAGCCCTCTCTCACATAATCCTCACCTATTTTGAACCTCTAGTGCAGCAATCTAGGTACTTCTCTGCCCTCCTTATACATTTCAGCACACACTATCCAGAGTGGTTGGTGCAAATTGGACCTAGTTGTGCCCCCTGTCAGAAAAAACCCATGCAGTACTCTGAAGGCTATGATGCCTGTGCTCCTACTTTTCCACTAAGAATTGTCATTGATCCCCAGACTCCCATGGTCCACACCACTAATGGTGTACTTGATGTCTCTCACCAATGACAGCATCCTCACCTGCTATCCTTCACTCAAAACCTTGTCCCAGTCACCTTCCACATAGGCAAGGGGCTTTCCTAGGTAACCACTTGGCCCCCAAAATTTAGGCAACCTGAAACTTCTCAGACACCTCAAGGGTTTTAAGAAAATTTCACCAAGCTTGTAGCTGTGTGAATAAAAGAACCATCTGTGGTTGAAGTGTCAACTTGCAGCAGTTACTCTAGGCCTCTGATTCCATCTCAGGCCTTCATACTTTGGAAGCATTGGTAACCTGTCAGACCATCTCTCTAACCCCTGTTTTTGTGATGGACACCAAGTGTACCCTGGTGTTGTACTTGAAAACCAGATTAGTCTCATCTTTCCAGGTTGGAAAGAGCACAATCAACAAAGGCATAGATGTGTTCCAAGGTAGACCCTGGCCACCAGCTTTTGCATGTCTCCATCAGGAATTTTCTCCAGAGTACATGTGTATACACACCTGCCCTCTTCATGTTTCTATTAATGCTTCCTGCAAGATTCATACTCTACATGGTAAAAATCCAATTTTTTGATATGTCCACTAACATTTTTCCTACAATAGACTATCTCTTCTCAACTGCTAAAAAATCCAGAAATCTTAGATTCACCGTTAACATTCACTTTTTTTCTTTACTCTTAAAATCAGAAAATCTGTGGTTAGCACAATTTACCAAAAAGGCCACTGTCTTTGGAAAGGACATTGAAGTTAATCCCTACATAAAGAAATAAACTGGGATGGAGATGTGCTTCAAGTGCTAGAAGCACCAGCATCACCAATAGGGGTAAAAAACAAAACAAAACAAAACAAAAAGCAACCTGAAATACCTTGAGATAACAAATCACCCACTGTTCTTTTTTGTTTCCGTTTCCCTCTTCATCTTACTATTAAAGCAACTTTGGGATAGCCAATCTACTTTTTGGTGTTTTTGCTTTCTTTAGTCATTCCCTGTATATAAAACCAGTTTCTTCAATCCAGTCCAATGGTACACTTATTCAATTTTACAGAATAAAGTGTTGCAGGAAACTAGAAGGTAAATTAAATCGACTTACGAACTTTAAAGGAAAGTGTTCTAAATTTGTTCCCTGACAACAGAAAGGCCTAATTAATCAAGAGATCCAGGATCCACCCACATTTTCCAATTTGTCAGCACCCACACTGCTCAACACACCAACATATACCATCTGGACCTTTCCAGGATCCTAATCTTCCTATTAACTCATTCGCACACCACAGCTGGTTGTCTTTGCTTTAGTCACAGGGAACCTTTAAGACCTGGGTAGAGTCAGATCCCTTTCCTTCTCTGTCCCAACCTCCCATTGCTTCCACCATCTTCACAAGAAAATCTTAACTTTCTATAGAGCCATTCCAGGCCCATGTGCTACTCTCACACTCACACTTCCCATGAAAAGAATACCCTACAGTCCCCAGAAACAGTTCAGCCTCACCTCCCTGCATTTGCATTCTGACACCGATTCCTCGAATAAGGAATTGCTTACACTAAGTGTAAGCAATGTGAGCCACTGTGTGTTATGCAGTACAACCTTGTATGGAGGGTTTTACAAAGTCCCTAGGCTCAAGGGCTGAAAGAGTGGCGGAGAAATCCCAAACATAATCCTGAGATAGTGTGGGAGATCACAGGTAATGAGGGACTAGAACATCCTCCACTCAGTGCCAGTCACATATTTAGGGGTACAAGCTCTTTTATAGACAAGAAAGTTTGTGTTGAATGACAAAGAGATGAACAAAAAGTCCTCCACAAAGTTAGTCAGCCCCAGAGCCAGGAGGCCTGGATCATGGAATTATCTGAGCCTCAGTCCTCAGTGCTGACTCTTGTCTGCTCTGAGACACTGCACAGGAATCAACTTCCCTGAGCTAGAATATCATATTCTGCTTTCCTGAATCTTTTAACTGGAAGCAGTGTTAGGAAAACTTTCTGGACCTGGTACCACTTCTGTTGATAATACACCACAGTTCCTGGTACCTGGAAAACAAGGGTAAAATGGCTCAAGGACTAGCATGCTGTAATCTCCCTCAACAGAAATTTATGCACAGTGGTCTATGGAACACTCTCCAGTACCTCAAAAAACTCGCACCTAAATTGATGTCCTTACACATGAGGTCCTCCCCATATGGAACACAAGAACCTAAAATTTGGTGACAGTGGCAGGTACCTTACTAGGCCAAATATTCAGGTGCAGTCCTTGACTATGTGGCACAATCCCAAACCACTTCTGACAGCCATGGCACTCTACCACTGTTGTGTTGTAAGACAGCCTCTACTGTGGGACCTGTCCTCATGCCACTTCCTGGTAGACAACTTAGCTCCAAAAATCTGTTTAGCAGAATGACCCCTAACTGCTAAAATACTTGATAGGAGAGGGATACAGGAAGTCCCACTTATAACTACCCATCCAATCATGAAATGACCCTGTTCAGAAAGCTCATTGGTGCAAACACTTCAACAGGGACCCACAGAATTCTGGCCTGCAGTTTCTATGGCTGAGCCTAAGTGGACAGAATCAAGAGTCAGTGGAAATCATATTGGCAACCTACAGTAAGGATGGGACTTTTTTTTTCTTAAAGGGGCCACAAGCAGATTTCTGGAATGTTTTGTCTGTAGGTGGCCACCCAAAAGTGAGAGATATATCAATAATGCTAATTAAGATCAGTTTCTCTCGGAAGCTGAAGACATCAGTTCAGCTGCTTGAAAATATGCTACTGATCCAAAAGCAGACACCGCACACAGATTCATCCAGACAGTGTGAAGGCAAATGAACACTATATACTGATCTTCATTTGCTGTTGACTGAAGAGGTGAGTGACACTGGGACACTTTACAGAAACAGAAGGGATGATCCAAGGCCAGCTGGAGATCAACTGGTCCCACGGGTGTCACATTTGGCTACAGTTTCAAGACTTCAATAGGCCCACAGGGAACAAATCATACATGCAGCTCCACTTGTCATCACCAGCAGACAAGGTTATCATGAAGACTGTGTGCAAAGTAACAAGAGTTCAGGCCTGCTCATGAGTAACTGCTATCTCACATTTATGGGCCAGTGGAGGGTCAGGAGATCAATACTTTGCTTGTAGAAATGCCAACAGCCTCTCGTGGGATGTTTAATCTATGTTCACCATCTCTCCCAGGACTCCAAGTTCACTGCCTCACTCTTCCATCCCCTGCTCTCCCTCATGCCAACCTCTCTACCTCACAAGGGAGAACAGACTCTAGTGCCAAAGATGCTTGCTCTGAGCTAATGGTAGCATTGATCTCTGTGTTGTTCCACACCAGCAAGGAGATCAACAGACATCATCTAGATTCATTGCCTGGTATCCAAACTCAGAGGAGCTTCATGAGCTACTCCACATTTCTGTAAATCCTTGTATCATTCCCTCATAAAACCACACATCCCTAGGCATCTCCACCCACTGCCCACTTTCTAGGAATATCCTTGATCTTCCTACATGTATTTCAACACCAGACATCCAGAATACAAAGAAAATGGGAATTCAATCTAAACTGACCCCAGTGCACTGCCAGTCCCCACTGCCACAAACACCCTCCCATCCTGGTCTGGATGCCTTGCTGTCTGACTCTGCTCTTGTCTAAACCTCAGCCTCCAAAACCAGCTATGGATCTGAAACATCCTTGGCCCTACTCCACCTATGGCGCCATTCATGTCCTCTCTCTAGTCACAGACTTTCTCCCTCCAGTAATTCTCATTCTGCAATTAGACTAGGTGGTCTTCCTCCTCAGGCCCATTCACAGTAGCTTATGACCACCATGCCCTAAACAAATGCTTCCACTTCTTGAAAGACCCCAGATACACCGAGGCTCACCACAAAATTGGTGTCTGAACTGCAGCGAAAAAGCAAAGATCTTGGCTTCAGCATCACGTTGCTCAGTTACACCCAGACATCAGCATCCAAACAGGTACATCGCCCATGGCAGCATGACACCCTACCAGATCGTCCTGTCCCCACCGGCTTCAGTGTTCATACCTGCACATCATGTTTATAGCTCCCATCACCCACACCCGGGGGTCCTAGCTTGACCCTCAATTCACCTCCCTTTCCTGAACATTATGCGACTCTGCCGAGTTTAGATGATTTCTGTCTGTCTATCTCGTGCTGCAGAACAACACAAGGATCAGTCCTGCCATCATTGGGATCGGGCATTAGGGGTGGAGGAGCTTCCCCAACCTCACTTAGCAGTTTAAGAAATCTGGACGCCGCTGGCTGGAGGCCAGGCTCAAGTGGAAGCGTCCCTGCCTTGAAAGAGAAAAGCCCTGAGTTCAAACCCCAAGGACCTTAAAAAAAAAAAGCGGGGGGGGGGGCGTACGGGTCAGCTGTAAAGCATTTGACTGCCGAAAAACGCCTAATCAGGAGCCCCAAACCAGGTTCTATCACTCAGATGGCCCGAGGAGGATTTAGCAGAGAAACCCGGCACTTACCTTATCCAGCTTACTCTGCGCGGAAGGCGCCATGGTATAACGCCGCTGCAGCTGAGACCCTGGCAAGGCCGTCACCACAGGTGTCCCTCGGACCAGCCGAGGTCCTCTGGGTTGTCCCAGCGGGACCTTGATCCTGATTCCACGTTCTTCTTCTCAGGAGAGACACGGAACGCCAAAATCACACAGTAGGAGCAACTCAGGGTGGTGCCGGAAGTCCCGCAGCAATCTCAGGCTGCAAACCCGGAGATGACTGTGTTCTAAATGCTCACTGGCTCAGCGCTGTTCCGTTCTTTACAGAGCATTCTGGGTAACGTAGTACCGACAGTTGCATGGTGGAGCATAGGAGCGCTGGTGACCTGCAGCCCCTGGAACAAAAAACTAGGGTGACCCTTGTGGAACCCGGCGAAAAGGCATATTCACCTTTCACACAAAGCTTTAAGTCAGCCTTTTCTTTTTCTAAACCCCTCCTCACGCAGTTTCTTGGCGACTACAACGTTTTCTGTCCCTGCATTGCACTGGGTCCACAAGAAAAGGGCTGACGGGGCCGCCTCTGCAGGAGGAGGGCTGGTGGGCGCCAGGGCGGTAGCTCCTGGAGGTCCCAACTAGGCCTGGGTTTTTGGAAGAGACTGAACCTTGCGCGGGCAGCGGGACAAATCTCTGAATCCCAAGGCAAGGCAAAGCACCAAGCAGGACACCCCGTGTTCACCTCCTGTGTTGGGCATTTGGCCTCTGGGGCAAAGCTGGATATAGCTTTACGCACTCAATTCTGAGCCCAGTTCCCTGACTTGTGGGCCAAGATGCCACAATCCCTCCAAGGTAATCAAACTCTGCTCCCCTCCCCCATCCTTCTTGGCCATGACTTTTCCCTTCCTAACTGTCCTTTCAGAGGTGCCATCTTTGATGGCACAATGGCTCCTAAAACTTCAAACACATCTGTTACTCCAAAGATTCTTGGTGCTGGAATATTGAGAAACACTAAAAGAATGCAACCATAGCTACCTTCAACAAAAGAGCCAGAGAAAAATAGCACGTATGGCTGGCTGCCCAGCCCCAATGACCTTCCTGATAATGTCCAGTACCTTTGCAGTCATTTTATTTCTAATGCCCATCTCCCTCCAACCTCCCTTTTCCCACTATAGGATGCTTAAAAATCCCAGCCTTTAAGACAGGCATGCTCTCACCCCTTTCAGAGTGTTACTCTGATGGCTGAGGGTACCTCTCAGGTCTCCTCTCCCTGATAAAGACCTGCTGCTTGCAAAGGTCGCAGATTCTTTGTCTCTCTCTCTCTCTCTCTCTCTGCTCTTCATTTTCCTTTCATTTGTTGCCAAAACCCAGGAGAGAGTTTCGAGTGGGGAGGGGGAGAATGCCCTTCTCAGGCTACTGCAATTCTGTGTCAATCCTCATATTGTCAGTGGTGCACCCCCATGGGGTCTCTGATCCAGAGCTTATATGGATGCCTAAGTTCCCAAGAGAGACATGGCCTGTGCCCAGCTCCATCCCCAACTGCCTGACCTCTCTCCAAAACTCTTTTTCTCTCCCTCCTTTCCCTCGTCACTATCTTCTATATGACACTATCAATATTATACTTCTGCTAAGCCTCTCCATCATGTTGACGGTTCTTTTAGGCATAAGGCGAGGGGCAACTGTCCCTTCTAATTGGACTTGAGCCCAAAAGTTATTGTTAGTCAGCCTTTTCCACCTAATAGCCACACTGCTCTGGGGCCTGACCTTTTGGTCAGACATAAGCCCCTAACTTCCTGTCCCTCTGCGACCTCCTGCAGGGCCCTTGGCTAATTCCACTCCACACACTCAACACTGGCTCCAATTTCTACAGGGACAGGTAAGACCTGGCCTCTCCATCTGGCACTCTGTGGCTCCTCAGTGTGTCTGACTCCAGCCATTCTAGCCTTTGCTTTTCCTATCTCTCCCCCTCTTTCTTACCCTCCGGCCGTTTGGCCCCCAGCGAGTCTGGCCACTGGCTACCCAGGTTAGAGATATCTACCTACTGCCACAGGTTCATTTTTCCAGTTTTGTAAGCTTTCTCCGGGGGCCACCCTAGAGAAAACTTCCTAACCCAGGCCATGGGCAATACCCAGTCTAAAATTCCCTCTGACTCACTCCTGGGTGTTTCTTACATAGTCTCACAAAATTAGGCCTAAAGAGTGATTTAAAACAAACCTCATCTGTTTTCCACTCAAATTTAGCCACAATTTGTGACAATTAATTGAAAAGATTAGATAACTCTTCAAAATGGCCTGAATTTGGCACTTTTGATCCCAATATTCTCCAAGATCTTGACAATTTTATTGTGAGAAATGGGAAATGGCAAGAGGCCCCTTATCTTCAGGTTTTCTTTTATCTCAAGTCCTGACCTTCCCTTTGTTCAAACCGCAGCCCCCCTCCAAGTCCTATTTCTTGATTCTCACCCCTCTCCCTCAGCTTCTGCTCCCAATCCCCTCCCATCAACTTTTGATCCAGATCCTGCTGACGAATCCCCTCCTTATCAATTACCCCACACCCCAACCCAACTTCTCCAAGCCCCCTTTCCTCTCCAGAAGACTCTTCCTCCCCTTTTACTCAAGAAGACCCTTCTCATACCTGATCCTGAACACACGCAACCACACTCCTGCAACTATTGACATCAACACATCCCCTCCAACCCCCATTATTCCCCCTACAGAGGTGGCAGGTGTGGAAGGAACAGTCAGAGTCCATGTCCCTTTTTCTATGTTAGATATCTTCCAAATTAAACAACAATTGGTCTCCTTTTCAGACACTCCAACAAAATACCATAAGGGCCTGTGCCCTCTCATGGAGTGACATTTATAACATTATTAATGACACCCTCATTGGGGAAGAAAAGGAGAGAATATGGAAGGCAGAACTACACACTGACCAACTCCATGAATAGTTTCCCAATAGACATCCCTGCCCTGCCACTGAGGCAATACCAAAGACAGCCTCAATGGAGCTATAAAGATGAAAACCCCTCCCTCTTTCTTAATCACCTTAAAGAGGAAGGTAGCCTTGAAACATGGTCATAAAACATGGTAAACTGTCATTTAAAAGCTGTAACCTCGGACAGAGCTGTAAAGCATGAGGAATTGCCCATTAGAGCCATGCAAAAGTTCAGGACTGAGATGAAAGGCACCATGCAGAGATAAGCACCCATCCCCGCCCTTCTTTGTCTCTACTTGTAAATAAACTTTCCAAAGCAGTTCTCCCCTGCTGATCTCATCTAAACAACATTAGGTCCCTAGCTCACTATCAGCCCAATTAACCGAAACAATCTTAGGTGTCTAACTCACTGGTTAGGACACCATAACCTGAGCACATTTTTATAACCTGATGCCCTGCACTGCCTTTTAAATATCTTGTGAATCCTTTGTTCAGTGCTCAGACACAGGTACACGTCTGAGCCCGCTGGCGTAAAAATAAAATCTGAGTTCTCCACTCCTCTGAGTGTCACTTGGTTTCTTGTCTGACTATTCTGCCATAGCAACCTCATGGAGGCAATGATTAAATACACTAATTTAAACCCCACCTCCCAAGAGGGACATATTTTCTTACATCCCAACTTTATCAGTCAAGCAGCTCCAGACATCCAAAGAAAACCTCCAAAACTTGAAGAGGGCCCACAGAACCCCCAGCAAATATTAATAAACACAGCCCTTAAGGTTTTTAACAATAGGGATGAGGAAGCCAAACAATTAAGAGACAAAAGTACCTGCACAAAATACCAAATGCTGGCCTCCATCCTCCAAAACCAAAACCAGACACCCCATACTGCCCCCCCAAAAACCCACCCAAGGGACCTGGCAAACAGCCCTCTGAGGCCTGCTTCTGATATGGAAACAAGGGACACTGGGAAAAATCTTGTCCTAATCCATGTTCACCAACACTATTGACTCAGAAATCATTCCTGTCCCCGTTGTAAGCTTTATATGCACAAAAAGAGATATTGGCCTCAACCGCCTAGAAGTGGGACTAGGCCTCTTTACCTAGATTGGGACAGGATGGGCACCCAATTCCAAAAACTATCCACAGCTCTAAAAGAAAGCCTTAATAACATTGCCTTACAGATTTCTGCAATTCAAGATCAGATCGAATTGTTAATGGTAGTGGTCCTACAAAACAAGAGGGGATTAGATCTCCTCACAGCTGAAAAAGGCAGGCTATGTCTCTTCTTAGGGGAGGATAGTTTCGTTTTATCCTTTCCTTCTTTTGTACCCATGGCTCATTCCATTGGCGGTTCCTCTCATCCTTGTTTGTCTGGCTTTAATGTTTCTACTATGTCTTATTAATATCTTCCAGAGATTTTTACAGGAATGTATTACTGCCATTTCTTGGGCTACCTCAGGGGAGCAATTTAAAGCCATAATGCTTCTACAAACTGGCCAGGCTGGACAACTCCCTACATCATCCCTGGCCAGCAGGAAGTAGATAAAAGACTGATGATGCCCCTTATCATACATCTATCTATATCTATATCTATACCTATATCTATCTATCTATCTATCTATCTATCTATCTATCTATCTATCTATCCTGGAATACTGAGAAAAACTAAAACAATGCAAACATGGCTACCTTCAATAAAAGAGCCAGAGAAAAACAACAGGTAGGGCTGGTTGCCCAGCACCAATTACCTTCCTGATAATGTTCTGCACCTTTGACCATTCCCCCTTTGCAGTCATTTTTTCTAATGCCCATCCCCCTGAAGGGGATCCCACTACAGGATACTTAAAAACCCCAGCCTGTAGGAGAGGCACGCTCTCACCCCTCTCAGAGTGTTACTCTGATGGCTGTGGGTCCCTTTCAGGTCTCCTCAACCTAATAAAGATCTGCTGCTTGCAAAGGTCGCACATTCTTTCTCAGTCTCTCTCTCTCTCTCTCTCTCTCTCTCTCTCTCTCTCTCTCTCTCTCTCTCTCTCTCCCCCTCTCCCCCACTTCTTCATTTTCCTTTCACTTAGTCTACTCAGAGAAAGGATTCAAGGAATGAGAGAGAGAGGAAATGTAAACAGGAGGAAGTTTATTAGTGGAAAGCAAAAGAAAAATTCACTCTTCAGATGGGAGGAGTCAAGAAACAGCACTGTTCTTTGTTCACAAGACTTCAAGTTTTATTGGGTTTTGTGGACTTGAGATGGGGCAATCCTAAAAAACTGGTATCATTGACATCTTGAAACATAGTTATGCACCATTAAC